AAACTCCCTTTTCTTTGCGGGGGTTCCTGACCCTCCGGTGCCCCCTCCTAAAAAAGCCACCACCCAAGGCCCAGGGTCCAGCTTCTCGACGCCCCCCCCCCTCTCTCTTGAAGGCAATCCTTCTTGCCCTCCCATCGAAAGCTACAAAAAGCCGAAGCCTGGGCGTAAGCGCTGGCACGCACATCCTAAAAACCTAGAAAACCTAAAAGAGAGAAGATGCTAAATATTTGGAAACGATGGCGGAGGGGGGGGAGAACGTGGGGGGGGGAGGGAGAGAAAGACACCTTTCCTTCCGATTATGGGCCAGATGCTTCCTCTTTCCTCCGGGTGCCCGTAGTAAGAAAATCGAGACCCCCTAGTAAGAAAATCGAGACCCCCGAACCCCCTTGCTTAAGGGACTCTGGTTTTTTTTCAAAAGGGCATCAAATTCAGCCTGGATTTTTGAGATTCAGCGGAGCAAAGGAAGCCTCGCCCGGAATTTCTTTCCGGGGTGGGTGGGTGGGTGGGAACACCCGAAATAACCGAAGCAATAAAGGAGTAAGTCACAGATAAGAGCGAGGGGCACCTCTAAAGCGTAACCCCCCCTTCCTCCCTCCCCGCCGACCCGCTTGGTCTCCGGGGTGGCGTTGGCTATTCGCGTCTTCCCAAATTGGGAAAGCCCGGCTCTCTCTGGCCGCGGGGTCCTCCTAAGGATGGGGAAAGGAAGGCCCCCAGTCCCTTTCCCACCCGGAGCCAGCGAACGCGCAACAGCCGCCGCCTTAGCTGCTTTCAGGCCTCACTAGCCCACCTTCCCTGGCCTGGGTCTGGCCTGGCCCTGGTCTGGTCTGGTCTGGGTCTGGGTCTGGCCTGTTCTGGCCCGGGCCTGGCCTGGCCTCTGAGTTGGCTGGAGACTGCCTGCAGCTCCCAGCTTTGTTGCCCACCCCCGCGGGGGGGGGTGTAAAAGGGAAGATCCCGGCCTCCGTTGGACAAGGCTGGCCTTCCCTTTTGGCCACGCCAGACCAGCGGGCTCTCTCTACCTCTCCGCCCGGCTTTCTCTCGGCAAGGCCCCCCGGGGACGGGAGACGGCCATGTTGGGCCAGTTTCGGCTCCGCTTCGCTTGCCACTACGAGAGACCCCCCCCCCCACGAGGCCGGCTCCTGAAAGGACGCTGGCGGGGTCAAGTTGCCCAAGAAGGCGCCCTTGGGAATGCTTAAGCGCCAGGCCAGGCGGCGGCGCGCAGGGGGGGGGGGGGGGGGGGGGGGCAAGGGGGCTTCCCCCTTCCCCTGACCTTTCCCGCTTGAGAGGGAGGGGATGCTGAGCTGTCTCTTGACTCGCCCCCCCTCCCCTCCTTTGTGCTGGGAACGATTGGGTGAGGCCAAAAGGGGGACCCGAATGTGGGGGGCCTGGGGAGGAAGAACAAGTGAGAAATTAGGGGGGTGGTGTCTTTTTTCCTGATCTGTGCTATGGAGGAAGAGGAGGAGGAAGACAGAAGCGCTTTAAACTTGCAGGGGTAGTCAACCTTGGCTCTTTGATGACTCGTGGACTTCAACTCCCAGAATTCCTGAGCCAGGAATTCTGGGAGTTGAAGTCCACGAGTCATCAAAGAGCCAAGGTTGACTACCCCTGCAAGTTTACAGCATCCTGTTTAAAGCTGCTTTCTACCCTTTTGCTTCTTCCTCCCTCCTTTTCCAAGCTGCCTTCATTTCCCCCTTGGTGTCAAACACCCTGAGGGGGGGGTGGATTGGGGGAGAGAAAGCTGTTGCCCCTATTTGCCAGCCTTTTAAAAAGCTTTCCTCAATTTCAACCCCCGACCCTTAGCTCCTTAGGAATCTCTACCCAACTCTCCATTGTTCGGGTCAGTTCTTGGGGGGTGGGCACTGGTGGGGGAGGGTGTCTGGCTTTTGCCCCCAAGCCAGCCAGCTAAGGTAAACTTTCCTTAAACTGCCCTAACCGCCCTTTCTCCAGAGTGGGTCAAAAGAGAGGTGGATCCACCTTAGAAGCTTCTTATTGGCAGGAGCTGAAGGCAGAAGAGATGTTCTAATTGGAGAAGAGATTTGGCCCTTCTTTCAGTCCAATAGCTGGCCTTAAAACTGACCTTGGAGAGGTGATGCCCAGAGGATCTATAACCTCCGAGGCCACTTTCATAGGCCTTTGGAGAGAGACAAGGGACAGGGAAAAAAGAGAACACTTTGTGTGGGGTTGCCCAGAGTCTAGGGGGGTCTTCTCCCTTCTTCAATTAGAGAAGGCCAAGAAGAGGACTCTGCATGGCTGAGATGGGCGAGAAAACAAAACAAAACAAAAAAATAACGGGCACCAGATCGCCAAGGAACAAACTTGCAACAAAGCCCAGCTTCTGAAAATGATGCTAAGCGCCACCAAAGTAGCCCCAATCTTTCTCCAAAACAGCAAACCTGTTTAGAAGGGGAGGGGGGGTCTTAGAAAACAGGCTGAGTTCACCAGCTGCCCCCCTTCAGATTCACACACAAAGACATGCCAGCCACCACAACAATATGGGAAAAGAAAAAAGAAAAAGAGAGAGAGAGAGCAAGCTCTTAAAGGACATTGGATCAGAAGGGAAGGAAGGGATCAGGCGGGGTGGTGGGGGGTGGGTGATATTAGAACTAGAGGCCTAACCAAGCAGAAAATTTGCCAGGCTGGTTCAAAAGGCCACAGGGCTATAAGAGGGGAGAAGAAAGCCCTCCTTTTTGAAATACATCCCATTAAGTTCAATGCTCACACTGGAGGGTAAGGGCTGTCCTCAAGTACCCTGTTTCGCAGACCCTTCTACATGGTTTTAACACCTTATAACTTTCTCTTTTCCTTACAAAAAAAAAAAAAGAAAGAAAGAAGTTAAACCTATACTGACATTCTATCCATTGGAAGAACAATTTTTGCACCTTAAAATTTCAGACCACAAACAACTCAAGACAATGCAGCAAAGTCATCACTTCAACCGGACCCGGATCCTATTAGTTATACAATTCACATCAATCCTAATACTGTGATATTTCTCAATTAAATAATAAAACATAATCTAGAGTGACATTTTCTACTCTTACACTTAAGGGGGGGGGCAATAACTTTCTTCCTTACCCATTCTGTGAAATTAAATTATTTGTGATTACAAAAAGGGATGGAGGGGGGGGGGGGAGGCCAAACATGCTCCAGGGCAATATCTTGGAAATTTACTTTTTGTTTTCTTTTGGAAAAAAAAAATCTGACTGGCAGAGCTGAATCTCCCTGCCTGCCTTTCCTGCCACCACCAATATTATCTTCCATTCTGCAAATTAAAATAGAACTATGGTCCAAATTCCTTTATCACACTGATTTTTGACAAGGTCTAAGTAATCTGAAGTATTATAAAGAGAAGAAAAACAGTGCCATACACAAACCACCCACAAATGCTTACTTCCCCACCAGGACAGTTAGGAGAGTCATACAAATGGTCAGATATCAAATAATATTTTAATTTCTGAATACTTTCAATTTTTTTCCTTGGAATATAACACACAAAGACTGGACCAAACAGTTTTCAGTTATTATAACTTTTACAGTATACAGAAATGTTGCACTTAAAAAAAAACCTTCAGTTTTTTTTTCTTTAAAACACAAAAAACTGTAAACTCTAAGGTACTGAATCAACCACATTATCTATAAGTGCCAACAGTAGTGTTATTTTTTTTTGTCATGCTGAATTCAATGGGTTTTTTTCTTTTTCTTTAAAAAAAGGGAAAATATCAACAAGTATTATAATACAAAGAGCTTGCAAATATACAAACAGATAGAGGAACTCGGAAACAATTTAGGACAACTAGGCGGAACCCAATTTCATTCAAATTACAAAAAAGGTAACTTTGTGATGAGTCTCTCTGTGATTTTCTGTGTACATATATGTATGCATGTTTTTACCAAAACCATCTTGTGTCTTGGACACACACAATCTCCCTCCAAAAAAATACCCAATTCCCTTCCAAAATCCATATTTTGCCATATATGCATTTATGTGTTTTTGTGTGTGTATATATGTGTGTGCATTGTATATACATAACACACACGCAACACACATATATATACACATACATCTCCCAGCAGACAGGCTAGAGGCAGGTTGATCGTGGTTCACTTTAAAAAAAGCTATAATTATAGTTGCTGTAGCTTGAAGCTAAATTTTTGGTTGACCGGATTTAAGTGCGCTTCCATCTTTCTAGAATTATTTTGGGGTGTGGGGGGGGTGTCTTTATTCCCAATTTTATGTTCTTCTCAGAAACCTTTCCAAGACAGTTTTAATTCTTTCAGAACATATACTTTTTAAAGGATACACAGTTCTTTAAAAAGAAAAGAAAAATGAAACCAAGATTATATCAAAATTATTATAGAACCACAGAATAAACTGGTTTGGAACCAGAATTTCTTTTTTTTTTAAAAAAAAAAACCAAAACAAAATCCTATAGGTACACAGACAATGTTGGACAAATCAATAATTTGGAGAGAGAGGGGGGGAAGAGAATTTTTCCCATTGTGTTAATTTTCTACAGGTTTGCTTGTTTAAAAATGCACTTTGAGCGAGAGATTGCATTTCAAAGTTTTAACACCCCCTCGAAAGAAAGAAAGAAAGAAAGAAAGAAAGAAAGAAAGAAAGAAAGAAAGAAAGAAAGAAAGAAGAAATAATTTTGTTCAAGACAAAGTGAGAGAGAAAGATAGAAATAGTAACTTGTGAAAGACAAGGGAATTTTAATGCATTGTGTAAAAAGTCCATTGAACAAGTCTCTCTTTTTTTTTAAAAAAAAATCCATAGTCCATTCAATATTCTCCTCTTCTTTTTTTAGCCAAGATGTGACATCCTCGCTTAACTGAAGGACGTTTACACAACCGCCAGACCCAATGTCACTCTCCATTCCTCTGTTCCAAATTTTCCATTTTATTTTGTTTTGTTTTGCTTTGTCCAATTTTCTGATCTGTGGAATTATTATTTTTTTTTTCTCTCCTCTCGCCAACATATTATTTTCCCCTCTTTTTTTTTTTTCTCCTCCTTTACTGGATGGCCATATACGGCCAGTTAAAACTGCTTCCAGATAGTAGCATATCTCTGATAAGGGTCTCTATGGGGGTTTTACCTACCAAACGGACGAAAAACAATTGCTCTATGACCGAGGAAGAGACGGTGCGAAGAGAAGGGAGGCGTAACAACAGTTTCCCAAAACGGGTGGGCTGGTTAGGATACTGACTCCTCACGTACTCCTCCAGGGCGCATTGGGACTTCTCCTGTAAACTTTCCACGTGCGCTACGTCCGATAGACCACACGCATCTGGAAGAAAGGGGAGGGGGTGTCAAAGAAAAAGAAGGGGGGGAACCATCAGTGTTAAATAAGACATGCTTTTTTTTTTCTTTTACACATGGACACACAGACCCCATCCTTGCCACCGATGCAAGCACTGCAGTAAAATAGCCCCCCCACCCAGCTGCTACCTTAACTGGACGCCCCTGTTCAAAATCGGTCATCTTACACCCCATAGAAGAGGTTTGGGCCAAGGCCTTCAGACTTTCTCTGGACCTGAGTTCCAGCTCTGCACCTCCGTGGAGGTTCCCAGCCCTCGCACCCTTCCACACACAAACACAATTCAGCCCCAATCCAGTCTTTGCTGTAGGAGACTGACGCTGCTCTTGGGCACAAAACACTGGACTTTCTCCCAGGAAACACTGTTTTGAAGCAAGCAAGGAGTTTTCTTTGGTGTCTGTCTGTCTTCTCTGTGTGTGTGTTTGTGTGTGTGTGTGTGTGTGCTTGATTGAGGAAGACAGCACGCTAAGCATGTGCTGAATCCCTCCCCCCCCCCCAGGATGCCTAGGTTTCTGTCTTAATTGCCCCCTCCATTCTGAAATTCAGGGGGGGCAGTGGATGGGAGTCTGTCGCCCTCTCCCCAAACCTGCAGAGATTTTTAAATTTTTTTTGCATGGGGTTGGGCAAAGGGAAGGTGTATGCTCTCTCCTCCCCACCCCCCACCCCCCCAAAAAAAAACATATTGGGAAAAATAAATGATGCAAGACCTGACCGACAGAATAGGAGAGAGTTTTAAAGAAGGTAGATTCAGAATTTAGCTCTGCTCAGCTGCAGAGAATTGAGCCCTGCAGCGCCAAGAAAGAAAGGCAGAAAGACAGAAAGAGAAAGAAAGAGAAGAAAAGAAAGAAAGAGAAAGAGAAAGAGAAAGAAAGAAGGAAAGAAAGAAAGAAAGAAAGAAAGAGAAGGAAAGAAAGAAAGAAAGAAAGAGAGAGAGAGAGAGAGAGAGAGAGAGAGAGAGAGAAAGAAAGAAAGAAAGAAAGAAAGAAAGAAAGAGATTCCCCCTAAAAGTGATACCGCAGTTTCCCCTCCATCTTTGAAAGTGATTTAAGTGGTCCTTTAAAACTGATCTTGTCAGTTTAGCTTATTCAAGGGCAGCCAAGCAGAATCTGATCTCTCTCTTCATTAGGGCTGTTTTCTCCCTCTTCCCCTCTTGCTGGCTTTAACACACACACACACACACACACACACACTCACACACAAATACACTCTCCCCACATAGAATGTATAAAAATAAAATAAATACGGTTCCGTCATCTGACAAGCTAAAATACAAGGAAAGCCCTTTTAATCAAAAGCTGCCTTAACTCAAGTTGTGACCTTAGCTGGCTGGGTAATGTACCAAAGCATGCATATTTTGAAAGACATTAGAATCCCTATCCAGGATCTATAGAAAAGGCCCAGGGGAAAAAAAAAAAAGGGACAGAAAGAAAGAAAGAAAAAATATCAGATGCCTCTTTGCGGGCTTTCAAATACATGCCAGGCCCTGCGGTGTATATATGGGCATCTGAATTGGTCAGTCCCGCATCCGTTTCCGTCCCCTCCTCGTTTTTATAACTCCACAAAATCAGATAACAAGTTTTATCTACCTTGGAAAGGCAATTTACATACAGATCCGCATTTTGCAAACAGTCATAAATTTTGCACTTTAAGGGCAACCGTGCCTTGAAGTGTTTCCCGGAAAGGGGAACAATATTAATAGCACTAATTGCAATCATAATCATAAATGCAGAAGATAAATTTCTTTGAAGTCGATTTTTGGAGAAGAGAAAGGTAGAGTTTGAAGGGAAAGCCCTAATAAATTATATTCTTCTTTTAAACCACACTCAGGAACAGAGAGAGAGACACTAACTTCACAAACACACTACCACACAGACACCACACACATATACAAACATACAGGTTTCATTTCTAGAATTGTTTCTGACACCCAGCCACATTTGAAGCACAAATGATTTGGGTGGGGAAGGAAGATTTGAACAGGGGGGGAAAATGCAATTATGGAAAGCAATAATATATAAAAGGAAGTTCAGGTCATGACCTAAATTTTGGAGAAAGTCCAGAAAGGCACTTGGTTTCCCCCCAGATCTCTCTTAACACAACAAAAACTGAATTGTGAGACTTTATTTTCTCATATAAACTGCACTTAGCTAGGCCAGTTTCCTGATAGTATGCTTGTTTCTATATATGAGCATTTCAGAAGCCTTGCCTGCATTTATATAGAGTGAACATTTTTCCAGGATAATTTATTATTTAGGAAAGAAGTACAAATTTTAAGATCTGACTCCTTTCTCTTGACTATCAGGTAAACATTAGAGACCTGATCTCATGAATTATTGTTATATTACTCCGTGTAGTATAAAAGACAGACACGATTTGAAATTTTTCACCTCCAGAGTTAACCTCAGATGTCTTACTCAACCAGATCGAACCATGGCTTATTAGATTTCATCATACCTTCCATTATTGCTTTATAACTGCGGCACTATTTTTACATAGGAGAAAGTTGACACAGAAATATATTCTCTCCCTAATTAGAATTTTTTCCCCCATGTTTGATGGGTCAAACCTCTTATTTTTTGTTTTTATGACTGGTTAAAATGGAGAGAGGGAAGACCCTTGGATTCTGCAATTTCGGAACGATGGTGGCCTTATATTTTATTGCAGTTATGGATGAAAAAATATAGTTAGGAAGTTTCGGATGAATAGTAAGCTGTGCTTTGGGAAACAGCATTTTAAATACGCCTGCCGTAGAGGCATGCCTTACATTTTAACATTTCACATATTTTCTAAAGGAAGGGCAAAACCTGTCATTGTTTAGGCACTGCTAGTAGGCCAACCATTTTAACAGTGCAGATTATCTACTCTAACCATGTCTAGGATCAGATCAAGTTTGCTTATTCTAGTTGATGATGGTTGTTGTTATTATTATTAAGCTCAGCGGGCTATCTCCTGGCTTGGCGATCTTCATTTATTTATTTTTTATTGAAGCAAGTTTCTTTATTGTTCTTTTTTCATTAAGCTGACCATTGTCATTTAGCAGTTTGCTGTCTTTCAAGGGTCTCAAAATACGAAGCTGGGCTGTTCTGCCCACTGACACAAAAGCCAGAAGAATCTCCCTGAACTCAGTGGGACAACTCTAAGAGAATAATGTCCACACACTGACACAGACACAGACACACACACTTCCTATTCACAGCAATCAAAAGGGCTCCCTTAAAACAAAACGCCCCCCCTCTCACCCCCCATACAATTTATCCACTCTCCTACTCTTAGCAACCTATAGTTTCTCGGCTTCTTTTTAATATTTCTCTTCTAGCGAGAGAGAAGATAAGTTTCTCAACTTTAACCTTAGGCCTGCACAGCTGACACAGAGAGGCTAGGATGTGCCTCCCAGTCAAACCACAGCTCTAATCCCTGTCTCTCCCCCCCCAGCCCCAAAAGCCAACCAAGCCCACAACAAAACGCCCCCAGAGAGCTTCCCCCCCTTCTTCCAGGAAAACCGAGACAGAAGGGAAAGAAAAAGATGATGGTGGTGAGGAGAAGGCTGGTTTCCGAGGCCGGATTCCCACTGCCCTGGAAGAGCCAAGCCCCCCAAGGCAGAGGCACTGGAAGAGCCAAGCCCCCCCAAAAGGCAGAGGCAACCTACCCCTTCTCCACCCCAACCCAGCAGAGAGACCCCCCCCCCCGGTCCCCTACCTGAGGTGAAGAGGACAATGGCCTTCAAGCAGCTGTATTCCGCCGAGTCCACGTGCAGGGCTTTGAGCTTCTCCACCTGCTCCTGGAAGATGCGTATGTGGTCCATAAAGGCGACCACGCGGTCGGCGGACATGGGCGAGGCGTGGAGGCCGGCGGCGGCCAAGAGCGGGGCGACGTGGAGGGGCATGGAGCACTGGGCGGCGTTGAGGACGAACAACTCGCTCCAGGTGAGCCGCAGGAGGGCCACCTGGTCGGTGATCTGCAGGTCGGGGAAGAAGGGAATGTTCCGAGCCCATTCCACCGCGCTGAAAAGCATCCGGGCGGCCAGCTCGCAAATGTTCTCGATCCCCATGATGTTGTTGGGCTGCATGCACTGGCTGCCGAAGCGAGAGGTCGGGTAAGGCTCGGCCCGCAGCAAGAGCGAAATATATCCGGAGAGGTACGAGTGGCAGTTCAGCGGGTCCCCGTTGGTTAAGGCGAACTGGCCGTGGGTCGGCTGTGTGGGTGGCATTCTGCCCCTCTGGACGGCTGCAGTGAATAAAAAAGAAACTACAGCAATTAATACCTGCATTGCTAGGGAGAGGCTGGAGGGGACGGGGGACGCTGGGCGACGGGGGTGCTAGCAGAACTACAGCTTGGCTGGCTTTCTGGGGAGGGGGCAGCAGGAGGGAGAAGGGGGAGGAGGAGGGAATCAAAGGGACCTGGGAAGGTCAAGACACTGACCCCTTCCTTTTGCACCGGCTGGAAGTAGAGACCTTGCATATTTGTGTGGTAGTTGGGGGGGGGGGAGAGGGGAGATCTGGACCTGGAAGGGGGACTAAGGATTTTGAGGGTTCAGCCCTGGGGGGTGCAGTGCTAAGAGGATGACCCCCTCCCTCCTCAAGACCCCAGCAGAAGCCGTTTGGAAACGGAAGCCTGGCCTGAAATTGTCCCAGGTTTCCAAACCGCCTTGCTGCTTCTTCTGAATCCTTCTCGGCCTTGGCCTTCACAGCAGCCCTTTGCCTGCCCTTCTTTTTTTAAAATAATAATAATAATAAAACAAAAACCTCTACAAAGGGGGAAAAGAAACCAGCCAGGCCAAGAGGCGGATAGATAGATAGGGGAAGGAAGAAAGAAAAGAAAGAAAGGAAGAGAAAGAAAGGGAGAGCGCGAGCCATCTCCAGCGCGGCTTCCCACTCCCTCTTTTTCTCGAAACAGGCCGGAGGGAAAAAAACAGAAAGCAAAATAAATACAATAAACTAAACACCGCCGGCGGGCCAGGGAGAAAAATCTGAGGTCCTCCAGAGCCCATTGTTGTATTTTCTCCCTTGTCCCAGTCGGGGGGCGAGAGGAAGCGGGGGGCTGGCTGGAAAGCTGGGGGATTTTCTCCTCTGCAGAAAGTGGGCCTTGGGTTTTGTTCATAAATTTACGCGGTGGTGACAGAGAGACAGAGAGAGAGAGAGACAGAGAAAATGAAAGAAGCAAAGATTCGCCGCCAAGGAAGCCGACTCGAGGCAGGCTAAGCAGGGGGGGCTTGCCTGCAAAGCCTGACCCCCCTCTAATGCTTCCCAAAGCCTCCGAGACCCCCCTCTCAAGTGGGAAAGCTGCTTCCAGCCCCCAAAACGTGCAACCAGGGGCGGCTGGAGAGGGCGGAGAGGCGCGCTACGCCATTAAGCAGAAGCCGCGGCTCTCTCGCCTTTTCGCCCGCCGAGTTTCTCCGCCGCGGCGCTCGCTCCATCTTGCGCAACAAAAAAAAAAAGGAGAATAAAAATAAAAATAAAGGACTCCCCCCCCCCCGTCCGCTGCTGCTGGACCCCCTCCTTTAGGCTTGCAACGCTTCCGAGGTCTGCTTTCCTTCCAGGGCTTCGCGTCCCCCCCTCCTTCCCCAGCCACCCAGCCACCCACCCGCGCCTGTGTCTTCTCAACGCCTCCGAAGCAGACACACAAAAATGAGCAGGGAAACGGGGAGCGTTTTTGAATTGTCATCTCCCGAAGGCCGAAAGGACCTCGTGGAAGAAGGAGAGGAGCGAGGCTCTCCGGGACTCTCCGGGAGCCGAGAAAAACCCAGCGGAGCCTGCCGGAATTCCGAACGGGAAGCTCCGGCGAAAGGATCGATCGATCGGGGATTTATTTATGGGTTATATGGTTATTTACAGAGCAGGGACGAAAAGGAAGGAGGCTGGGGAGGGGGAGAGGCGGCGAGAACAAGGGAAAGAAGTTTACGCAGCTGAGATTGCCTGCAGCTTCCCTTCTCCTGTGTTGGGGAGGCTGACCTCCAACCCCCCACCCTTTCAGCCTTTTATTTTTATTTTTTTTTTACTGCTTTCCTTCCCGGGGGATCCATTCGGGATCTGTCCCAGCTCCGGGGGAGACCCCCGACCCATTTCGAGGAGGGTGGGAAGCGGGAGGAGAGGGCGAAGAGAGAAAAGTTGCTCTGACTTAGGGCCGGGAGTCTAAGCAAAGCCATTTTCGCCCTTCCACCCTCCAAATCTAGAAACTCGGGGCGGTTTTTTTTCCCCTCGCCTCCTTCCCTCCCACGCTCAGGAGAACAATCAACCCCAGACCAGGGCTTTAAAAAAAAAAGAAGAAAGAAAGAAAGAAAGAAAGAAAGAAAGAAAGAAAGAAAGAAAGAAAGAAAGAAAGAAAGAAAGAAAGAAAGAAAAGAAAAGAAATGAAAGAAAAGTACTGCCAGCACCTGGACTCGGTCCGCCAAAAGAAAACATAACTCTACAAAAATTAAAATAAAATAAAATAAAAAAAAAACCCCAAGGAGCCAGTCCTCCCGCAGGCTGGAATTTCAGGTTCGGGGGGGGGGTGTCCTGCGTATCCGGAGGCGGCTGTTCTCCCCGCGCCTCGGCTGCCCTCCCCGCCGACGGGTGAGAAAATGGAAAACAAATGAAATTCCAATACCTTCCCGTCTCATGCCAACTTTCAGGCATTTCTTGAGGCGACAATATTGGCACTGGTTGCGGTGATGCTGGTCAATGGGGCAGTTCCGGTTGGCGCGGCACGTGTAGCTAAGGTTCCTCCGGACGCTGCGCTTGAAGAAACTCTTGCAGCCTTCGCACGTGAATTGCCCGTAGTGTTTGCCGCTGGACTTATCCCCGCACACCACGCATTCGATGTGCTGCTGCTGCTGCTGCTTCTCCCCTTGAGGTTGCTGGCTGCCCGGGTTGGTCTGCACCGGGGTGCTGGGGGGCCCTCCTTGGCCCGGCGTCTGCGGGGTGTGGGGGGCGCCCGTCGGGGCTCCCGGCACAGGGGGGGCTTGCGAAGGCTGCGTCCCTTGCGGGCCGGTCACCTCGTCCTGCGGGTCTCGCCAGGCGCCCACTACCATTGCCATATCTAAGGGACACCGTGGCCAAATCGCGCGCCCCCCCGTCGCTTGCTGTGGCCGCCGGATCCGCTTCTCCGGCCGGTTGCGCCTGCCGTTGGGAGCCGGAGCGAGCTGTGCCGGTCTAAAGAGAAAAGGGGGGGGGGGTCGTCCCACTTTTATTTCAGTTTATTTGCTCGCCCCCTCCGGCTTTTTTCCTCTCGCAGTCCGCGCTGG